ACCTACTGTGCTGCTGTACAAAAACCCAAACTTCCTTAATGATTTGTGGTGCATAAAAAGATATTTTTCATCCAAAGTGACATTTTTCAACAGACATTTCTTCTCGAACAGCCTGTATTCATGACATTTTGTAATCTAGACAGAGAACTAATATGATAACACTGATATTCTTTAAATTGACAATACTGCAACATACTTCAGGTTATAGAGTTCAGTTCTTTGTTCATTATTCATTGTTTTGGAGTTAATATTATACACGGATATTAAATAATTTATTATGTAATATTAAAATTAGTTTGATGTTCAAGCCATTGATGTTGCATGCAGACTCCAATATTATGGATTCCACATGGTGAATCTGCACAAATTAACCCCAAAATACTTTATTATGCATGCGACCAGCCTTCAAATAATCTTCAAAAACATAAATCAATCAATCAATCAGTTAATTAATTCATATTCATTTGCCAGATGATTTTATCCAAAGTGATTTATAAATTGGGAATATGACAAGCTGTTTATCACAGCAAGTTCATAAAGTGAGAGGGTCTTTCACAGTGAAAAAGCTGCAGCCCGATGACAGTGGTGTGTATTTCTGTGCAGTGAGTGAGCACAGTGACACAGACCTACTGTGCTGCTGTACAAAAACCTAAAATGTTCATGCTCCCTACCTTGTGTATCTGGAAAGACAGAACAGGTGTAATGACAGGTGGTAATGATAATGACATTTTGTTGAAATTATGTTCAAATGTTTGTTTGCAACTCCACCATGCTTGTAGGGATCTTAAGGAAATCTGCATAAAATTTCACAATATGACTTTGATGTGTTTAAGCCACAAAATTCCATATAATGGTTGTGACCACCAGCTTCCAAATTATATAAAAAAAAATTTTAAAAATCATAATATTAGTTAAAAAATATTATTTAAAAAATAACCTGGTATTGACTCTTTCTGCAGGCTTCACGGCAACAACTGTCTTTATGAATGACCATATATCATCACTGCTGTAATAATGAATATCACGGTCTTGCTGCTTCCTTACCTGCAGGACTGGAAGCAGCATGACTGCATGAACAGTTTAACAATCTGAATTCATTTTTAGTCACTTACATTTAATACACAATATTAGTGGTTACACTGTCACTGTCTGTTGTTTCAAACAAAGCCATAGCGAAATCTGTTGCAACACTGAACAACATGGTAAGGGTATGGTACATAGTAGCACAACATTGTGCTAATTATTGTTTCATTGTTATACGTGACATGAGTGACATGATGTCTACTTCCCATTACATTAAGGGATCTGTATGTTTTGCTGAGAAGAAGTAGGCAGAGTGGAGGTTTATATAGGTGTTTGATGCTTTTATGAAAATGTACAAGAGAGAGTCTGCTATATCTAGTTGTAACAAATCACAATTGCAATATAGGCTATATCATTAAACTGCATTAGACTAAAGTTGCACTAGACTGCAACCAGGGCCTGGATTAACGCATAGGCATTCTAGGCACGTGCCTATGCTCGCTCATCCAGGGGGGCCCAAACACAATGAAGACATACATCATATTTTTGTTATAGGCCTACTATGGGCTATCTACAACAGTAAAAGAACCAAAACCCCAGAAGGCATTGAGCAAATAAATATAACAAACAATAGGGTAAAAAATGACAAAGTATTTATTTTTTTATGTAGGCTATGGAAATAACGCTTTCTTTCTCCCGTTCTCTCTCACAGACGCACGCACTCGCGCACCGGAGCAGTTGGGGGTTCGGTGCCTTGCTCAAGGGCACCTCAGTCGACCATTAGGCCACGACTTCCCCCTTAAAAAAAATATATATATATATATATATGAAAATCATTTATATAACATGTAATCATGCATAACAACCATGAAAGATTATTTGAAATATCAGTCATAAATGTCATGCATTCGAATCGCAATAAGACAAGAATCCAGCAGATGGCACTATAATATAACATTGCAGGTATATGAGCGTGGAGGCTGCTCACAGACCTCAGATTTCTCTAACATCTCAGTTGCTTTGAAGGAAACGTGGTGTCACGTGATTTTTTGTAACCTCATGGATCCAGTTCTATCCAGTCTTAACCACTATTCCTCTCCAGGCCATTGATAAAAATGTGTCCTGTGTAGTTCTTTACCTAGTGACCTATTATGGATTATGAATATTATTATTTATTTAAGATTATTGCTTATAGTGCTTATGGTGTTCAGACATCAACATTAACTTGTTATTTAGTTGTTATGAAACATAACCAAAGTAACATGAATTTGAAAGCACCCATGATGTGAAGGGCTCTGAATGTTCTGTTGAGGTTAAGCAGTAGGCCATAGGCTATGCAACAGATAGATAGATAGATAGATAGATAGATTTCCTTCCTTGCTTGTGTATTTATTTAGCAGTTAGTACAAGAAAATGTTTGTCCTACCTGGTTAGAATTTTTGCAAATTAGGCTAGTACACTTAACAGAACAACTAATATATACTACCTAATATATATTACACATGGTTGTGTGTGCTGTAGCTGAATTCTGAAATATAAAGACGGTGGCTTCATGTTAAAATGGAATGTGCTAATAAATCTGAATTTTAGAAACAACATTTTGGACAATATTTAATTGGATGAGGTAAAAGTGGATGCATCAGGACATATATCATTCTCTCATAGTTAAAGTTGTTTATGCAACATATGCTTAACGCGCCATCGCGAAAAACTGCATAATATAGTGTATAATAGCATAATATAATATGCTATTTCTGTCACTGAATTAACAACCACATATTTACAAATATAATTTTCATAACAGAGAGCTAATCAAACAAACTGCATAGTTTTATATATAGAAATGCCCTGCAGTGTCACAAAATAAGATGGATGTATCCTTAGACATAATTATGCCATCAATTCAGTCTTATTCTAAATTCACCTTGTTTATATGGAAGCAAAGTGAACAAATAACACTCAGCCTATTTTTTTTAACTTAATGAGTTTCAGTGAACTTCTTTTTCTTTGTAACCATATCCAAGTGACTTACTGTATAGTACACTTTAAGAACATTCCCCTTAACCAACCTGTTATATAGTATCTTTGTCAAGTGCTGATAGTTGATGGATTTCCCCCTGCCAGGTGAAAACCTACAACCATTTGGTTACCAACCTAGATCTTTTTCCACTAAGCTACACCACCCAACCCCACCTCTAGAGGCGCACCATGATTATTTAAGCCTCAGGACTTTGCTGAGTTCAGCTATTCATTATGCAGTTGTGTTTTGCTGTCTTGTTTGTATCATTACAATGGCCTGAAACTATGTGTAAGCTGCTGATTTGCTCAAAACCAGCTTTACAAAGTTTTAAGTCTTAAATTACTCATTCCAATTTTTGTCTCAGGTCTTCAGGTAAACCAAAACCCTTTGGTGCTTATTCTTCAACGAGGGGAACCACTGAAGGTTGTCTGCTCCATCACAGGCACTAATAACCCAAACCTGTACTGGCACCGTTGGACCCCAACAGATGGTTTCAAGCTGATGTTCAGTTCTTTCAGTGTAGGAATGGTGGATCCAGCAAGCGTGGGGGATTTTTCATCTAACAGATCAGGGCTTCTTCAGATAGTGCTGGAGTCCAAGAGTGTAACCGATGTTGGTTCTGTTGTTTGGTTCTGTGCAGCCAGTCCCCACAGTATGACAGACTACAATGAAAGCTGTACAAAAACTCTCAGGGATGAAAACTGCTTTTCAAGTTCATTTGAAGGCTATTGTTTAATTTGAGGCCCTGTCTCAAATTGATTTGTTTGGAAGAGGTGTGACATAATTTTTGTCCAAAAAAAACAAAATCTACAGTAAAATTTACCCCTTGTGTTGAGATTGACTTTACTGTCCCAGAAACCCCAATGACTTATGTGTAAAAACAATAATCAATTCAAAATTAACCTTTTATTTTCTCTTCAAATTCTTTAAATATGTTCCTCTGGCCTAATCAAAACCCATTTGAATTGTTTTATTGAAGTATTAACCCTCTCTTTCATCACAATGTAGAATATCATTTACTGGAAAAACTAACAGCATTTCAGTGTGCTTCAGATTACTCAGAGTGAGCGACTGATTCATGATGCATGAGTTCAACATGTTCCAGAAAAACAATACAGATGTGGGAGTGTGTGGTGCAGACTGTTGATAGAATAACCTGCAAGCATGCTCCTCGAATGAATCACCAGTTTCTGCACCAGTTTCCAACAGCTCTTTTTTGTTTCTTATTGGTTTAGTCTGTAGACGTGCATGAGCTTTGAGGCTTGTGTGCAGCAGCAGGTGTGTGAAAGATGCAGGATGAAGCACGAACATCTCGAGAACGTTCTGACCACATCCTCCCCAACACCTCCAAACTGCTCGCAAAGAAATGACACCACATCCTGCTTTCAGCTGCAGCAGTACAGCACTTAAAATCATCTATAAACCATTCAAAGTAGAATATCTCTTCTGGATTGTATTCACATTTTCAAGTAGAAAAGAAAAAAATTGTATTAGTTATTTGTTTCAGAAGACATATGCATTTACAAAATCAAGTTGTTGCTGTTATTTTCAGTTCACATTTTTCTTATGTGCAATGTTCCAGGAATTTGAGAAAAGCTTTAGAACTCATTATTAGAGAGGCCACATATGTAGTCTTATTTTTCTTATTGCAATGGAAGATTCTTACGTAACTTAGATAACTACCCACACTTTCCAAAAGTGCAGATTTTCCACTGAAGAAAAAAAGAAAAACATATGCAAATATCCTCTGTTTCTCATAAAACAAAGGCCTCAGAATTGCGTAAATGCAGAATGTTTTAGTCATCGCACAAAACAGAATACAAAACTGTTTACGTCACATTCTACTTTATTAGTTTCTCGTTGTTAGTTATTCATTCTTATCCAGTCACTATCTATGTTAAACTTTCATGCTTAAAAAAAAAAAGAAGAAAAGAAAAACATGATTAAATGTGTGATTTGATGTCATACGCAAATAAAACAAACATGAATCTAGTAAAATGTAGGAAATATACAGACATATTACACATTTGTAAATAAAAAGAAAGTCACTTCTGGCGTCTCACTGACAAAGTTACAAGGTATCTCAGTCCTCTGGTAATTGTTTGTTCTTTGCTGAAAACTGTAGGGTAATAAATTCATATCATATTATGGGATCGCATGCATCAATCCATCCATCTATACCTATATATTCATATACTGTTTATGCATATTTGATGTGTGATTTGTGTGTTATAGTTATCAGGAATTACCTTGAGTTTGCACACCACACCAGCCACAATCAGCGCATAAAGCAGGCTTTTGCTGAGGAATAGGATGTAGCCAAAGCCAAGCAGTTTCAATCCTTTCGGCTTCACTAAAAACAACAACATGTAAAGATATATGAAACAGCACTTTAAGACATAAATAAAACTATTATTAAATGAAAGGATATTTAATTAGAAAACTAAATATCAATAATCTATGTTGTCTCATGGAATTCAGACTTTGAATATACAGTGGTCTGAAAAAGTATTTGGGCAATTATAATAAACACTATCAACTCTCACTGCAACATATAAATATATTAAAGAAGTGGCATCTGCAAATATAATATTTTATAAATTTACTGATATCTACTGTCTTCAGTACATACGTGTGTGTGTGTGTGTGTGTGTGTGTGTGTATTATCCAGCTTAATGGTGCATTTTCACCTTTTTGACCATTTATGGTGTTTGTGACATTGACACAATCCTCTCCGTTGAAGAAATGGACAGTGCAGGTGAAGTTATTTTTGGGATCTATCCAGTCCATGTCATCAATTTTCATTCTGCTGCTGATATGGTAAATTAATGTTGCCTTGTCCTGTTGGGCTGAGGTGTCAGTTGAGACCCAGTCCTGTCTCTCTTCGCCATTCACTTTCCAGGACACGCTCACATGATCAGGATAAAAGCCTGTGGCCACACACACTAAAGTTGACCATTTATCTGTCTTGTTCTGGGAACATAATTCTTTTGGAGAAGGTGGTAGGATCTTGACTTTAGGTAGAGTGATGTTTGCAGCTTGAGAAGGAAAGCGGATAATCAGGAAGATTCATTTGCAACAATTACTATGTAATTACTCTTGTAATTATTACATGCATCAATGAAATGCTTGATTTTGATTGGTCATTCAGAGCAAAGACTGGTGAATTAATTAATTTATTTATTTATACAATGATTATTTTTTACTGTATGCGGATGAAACACTGTAGCCATCCAAAGAAATGCACACAACAACTTATATAAAGTTGCTTTGTTTAAATATACATTAAATGTCTAGATGCTTTGGTTTGTGCAGTTTCAAATCGTTGTTATGCTTTTAATACCTGTAACTTATTTTAAATACTATTTTTACATTTATGTATGGACTTAATTAATTTTTTCTTAAATGCTCCCTTCTCTTTGAAAATAAATAGGGAATTAACATATTATTAATAATAATACATTTACTGAATAAATAAAAATGTATTCATTAACGAATAAATAAGCATTTTACATGGATAAAATAATCCGTACATTCATATTTTAGTGGTCTATGTACTTTTTGTTTTCTGTAACCAATCCATTTTTTTTTTCATTTCCATGACATGTACAATATGACACATTTTACTGCATTTCACAAATCATACAAGTACATTTACAAGTACTCTTAAGTACAATTTAAGAGTTTTCAAATTCAGACTTACCCAGAACCGTCAGTTTGGTCCCTTCTCCAAATTCTAGTTTTGCGTAGCTATTACATGGTGATTTATCTCATTACCTAAACCTCAACAACTAACAGCTAATAATGGCCAATGGTACACTGTTTTTGGGGGCCCCTTTTCAGTTTGAGACCGTGAAAGCCATAGTGGCCTCCCAGCTGTTACCCAGAGAGGCCTCTTTTGAGCAGCAGGTATTGTAGACTGAAATGTAGGATTTTTTTGTGCATTTAAATGTGCATTATGATTGTAACAGTAATTAAAACTAACAAAAAGATAAATATATACAGTGGGTACAAGAACAGTCAAAACACTGTAATATAGGATCATAAAATATCAAACCAAATACCATATCCAGAGTTTTTCTGAGAACTCACCTCGCTGCTCTTATCATTTCCACAATTAATATTAAACAACTAGACATCCAATAAGTGTAGTTAATCATTAACTATGTATTTATTTTAGCAATTAAAAAGTGGTCAAATGCATAGTATTTTAATTTTGCATAATGTGTTGTTTAAATCATATTGCAAACAAAATATGCCAGAGGAGGTACTTTATGGGAGAAAGAAATGTTCAGGTACAGGTCTGCAGCATTCAGTAACTCAAAAGAAAAAATGTAGATTGTTTTATCAAATTTTTTTAAAGTGGTGGGAGCCCTAAAATGCCGATAAATAATAATCCAGATATATGATGAGATTTCTATTGCTTTCATGTTTATTCAGATGAACAGTTCACCTAAAGAAGTAAACAGTTATTTATTCCTAATTACAATGTTTTAGCGACCAGTAACAGTGTATTCATTAGGGGGCCTATATAAAGACCACATAGGCAACAGAATATAATCAACCAGTTAAATCATTGTTACCATGTTGTTACTTGATTGAAAGCAGTTGGGAGATCATTTTCATGAACGTTATTGGCTACAAATTGTCTTTTACTTTTTGAATTTTGCAGATGCTTTTATTCAAAGCAATTCAAGGTATACAATTTATTTATGCTCCCTGAGAATGAAATCTTTAACAGCAAGTGCCATGTACGCTACCAAATTGTCTACAGCAAAAAAAAGCTATCAAAATAGCTATTAGTCTTGAATTGGTGAACAACATGCCTATAAAAGAAGGGAGAATTTTCTTTGTGGGTAATAAGCATGTGTTATAGATTTTATTTATGTATAAAACAAATAAAAAAAATACAGTAAATCTTAATATGAAAAACAATGAATTATATTTAGCTCTGTTAAGTCTGTTTTACTAGTATAGTAGTTTGTTATCGAATTGTAACTATGTACAGTAGCAAGAAAATAAGCAAAAGAAAAAATATATATTATTAAAAAAGATTTTATGATTAATCTGATCTGAAGTACCTGCAGATTTTCACTAGGATACACACTCAGAATAGAACAGAATGAGAGAAATAAAACGAAACAATATAGAAAGAATCTTCAGTTATATAATCAGCATCTCTTCTGGATGGAGTAAATGGATTGAGTTTTCTTGGTAACTCCGTCAATCCAGGAATGTTCCGTTCATTCACTTTCCAGATGAACCCTGTAACAAATATCACATGAACATTGAGACATTCTGAAAACTAACACACTTAACGCTTATGTTGTTAATATTCTTCCAGCACGTATGTTTGAAATTATAAATTATAATTACAAGTTCATCATCCTTACCTTTCTCCATACATACACTAAGATGACAAGACCATACAGTCCACTCTTAGCGATGAACACACTGTATGCCAGCTTCATCCTCCGTGATGATTTTACATAGTCTTCTGGATATTAAAAGATCAAATCATAACATATTATTCAGCATGACATTACTGGTAAACCTTTGACCTCTGACCCTAATTCATCTTTTGCAGATAGACATCCAAAAAGAAAAGAGCAAACACTTACCTGGCTCATATCCACCCCCTGTAATTAGAAAGTAATTGATTAGAAGACCCAAATATTAAAATATTAAAATTACTTGAAGCATGTATTGCAAAATGCATTATATTCAGACAGCAGTTTCTTTGTTTCATCTTTCATCGTTCAACTTATGTCTAATGAAATACCTGCAATTCCATTGATTTCACCATGTCTGTTTATGGAAACATCTGTTTCATTGTAGAATCTCACAGTACATCTGAATGTGTTTTGTGGTTTGAATTCTTTTTTAGAGACTTTAAGTCTGCTGGTTATGCTGAACAATTTTGTTTTTTCGTCTTGAGTGGCATAAGGGTCTGTCGCTACATCATCTTTTATTTCTTTGCTTCCAATGGTCCATGTTATGCTCACATGGTCTGGGTAGAAGTTTTTGGCCACACACACAAGAGTGACTTTTTGCTTACAGCTCGTCTCAGTTCCAGAGGGTTTTAGAATTTCTACTTCTGGTTTGCTTATATCACGCTCTGTAAAATAATATTATACATTATAAGCATATGTAACAAAATATTAGTATAGACATATATACATTAACAATTTTGGAAACCAATTTTCCCATGATATTTCAGTCTGCTGAAACGTAAACTAAAGAATCATGCAGTTTTATTTTGATGATGATGATGATGATGATTGTTATATTTGTTATTTTTATTATTATTGTTGTTGTTGTTGTTATAAAATAAATTACACAATACTGTTTATAACCCCTTTGCACAATACACAATTCCTACTAAGAGCAGTTGCTTCTTCAACAGGAAAACCACAATCAACTAATGTACTGTCGCTAATGTATCTGTACTCGTCGCTTTACAGTTATATGCAGCTCATAGCAACTATCTTACTTGATGGAGCATAAAGTATATCAGCAGTATTACATGCTTATAAAAACACTGATTCATATAGTGCACATCAACAAGAGTTGCTAAAGAACAGCTAGTTGCAACACTCAGATCTAGAGGAACTATAAGCTGGTGTTTCACGTTATACATCACCTATATATTCAGTTATTCTTCTTATTAACTAACTCTTAACTTCAACGTTTTCCTCAGTGCACTCCTAATTTGTTGCTCGTTAATAGTTAGTAAGGTAGTTGTTATGTTTAGTTATGGGGTAGAATTAAGAGATCTAAAATATGGTCATGCAGAATAAGACATTAATAAGTGCTTTATAAGCACTAATAAACAGTCAATATGCTAGTAATATGCATGCTAATAAGCAACTAGTTAATAGTAAGAATTGGTCCCTAAACTGAAGTGTTATCAAAAAAACATTATTTTCTTTCTTACCCAGAACAGTAAGTTTGGTCCCATTGCCAAAGTATGCAGGTCTGTTGTTCACACTGCTCAACGGCTACAGTAAAACTCTTCCTACCACTTTAACCTGATTACATTCTACAATGCATGACTATGACACTCAGCATACACATTTTCAAAAATGCTATAGATCATTGACATATTATGAACAATTTGAGTGGTAGTAAGGCAAATAGCTTGTCTAAAGGCAGAATATTATCTAAACCTGTAATTCTGGTACTTCAAACTCAGACCTCAAAACTCCGCACTGTTTTTAGCACAGAATGTTCTCAGAAGTAGAACAGTGACAGTGTTCTACTCTTATGCCAGTGTCTCTGACTAATTCATACACCATTTACTTATTTGGGTTTAGTTGAAATTATGAATTGCAGTATTAAGAAATAAAAGGACATTGTCACAATTTCACCCACAAATGCACAGAACTTGCAAACTGATAAAATACCAAAAACACAAGCAAACAAATATTCTTACCTAAAACTGTAAGTTTGGTGCCATTGCCAAAGTATGCAGGATTGCCAAAGTTCACACTGATTCTAAGCTACAGTTAAAACCTCAAACAGAGTGGAGATCATGTGAACATTATCCTACTATATTTAACTCTAGTTCTTCTAACTGACACCATCATTTTAGATATACTCTTTATATTATACTATATCAAAATCATTTAAGCTCTTGAAGAGCAGCATTCTCCATTTACTCACCTAAAACTGTCAGTTTAGTTCCATTGCCAAAGTATGCTGGGTTGGCATTGTTCACACTGATTTTATGCTACAGTTGAAACCTCAGCTATAAGGCAGATGCATGTGAATATTGCCACTTATCCAACTATTTATGTATTCTTAAAGATGAATTAGCTAGTCCAAGTATTCCAATTCACCGTCATTTTAGATGACTTAATAAAATATCAGATTGCTCAATTTACTCACCTAGAACTGTAAGTTTAGTGCCATTGCCAAAGTATGCAGGCTGTGATTGTTCACAATGATTCTAGGCAACAATTAAAACCTCAGCTATACTGGAGATCATGTGAACATTGCCACTTATTCCACTTTATCTAACTTCATTTTTAAAGACTGCACATATTTCAGTTTTTCTGATTCATGAGAACATTTGCAGATGTCCTATTAAAATATTAGGCTATGAATATCAAACAAAATACTTAAATTACTCACCTAGAACTGTAAGTTTAGTGCCATTGCCAAAGTATGCAGGGCTGAGATTGTTCACAATGATTCTAAGCTACAATTAAAACCTCAGCTATACTGGAGATCATTGCCACTTATTCCACTTCATCTAACTTCATTTTTAAAGACTGCACATATTTTCAGTTCTTCTGATTCATGAGAACACCATTTGCAGATATTCTATTAAAATATTAGGTTATGAATATCAAACATAATACTTAAATTACTCACCTATAACTGTTAGTTTGGTGCCATTGCCAAAGTATGCAGGATTGAGATTGTTCACACTGATTCTGAGCTACAGTTAAAACCTCAAATATACTGCAGAGCATGTGAACATTGCCACTTATTCCAATCTATCTGGTTACATTTCTCAAGACTAGACCTATTCCACAATCTTAGATAACATATTAAAAATACGAAGCGCTAAAATTCACACATACTACTCAAAATACTCACCTAGAACTGTAAGTTTAGTGCCATTGCCAAAGTATGCAGGATATCCAGAGTTCACACTGATTCTAAGCTACAGTTAAAACCTCAGCTACAGTTGGATTCATTTAAACAGTGCCACTCATCCCACTATATCTAACCTCATTTTTAAGACATAATCAGATTCTCGAGAACTGCAAGTTCATCCAATACCAATTGAGCAATTTTAGATAGCACATAGCAATATTTCTTTGTTAATGACCTCCAATGTTGTCAATGCCAATCATTGAAATAACATGAAGAGTTTAATGTTTCTTACCTAGGACATTTAACTTTGTTCCATTGCCGAAATAAGCCTGACCATAACCAGAGTCACAGCACGCATGTGCTCTAACAAATTTACCCAAGACACCAAATGCTAAAGCCCTAGCATATGTTTTACTTGAATGCCCTGCGACTATCATAAAATTATCTACTAAAGAACAATTATTTTAGTACAATGAGTAGTAATTTACCATATAGTGATTTAAACATCAGAGAGATATACAAAAAGCAATATCATTTTGAAAACTGTCAAAAATAACCTCCTTTTAGACCTGAACATCAAATAAGCAGGATGTGTCCTAAATATCCTAGTAAGTTCAGAAATATTATGCAAATTACTCACCTAGGACTGTAAGTTTAGTGCCGTTACCAAAGTGTGCTTCACTAGCCAAGTTCACACTGATTCTATGCAACAGTTAATACCGTACCTCAAAATCATGAAGTTTTAAAAAAAAATAATTTTAAAGAATGCCTATCTCAAGATTAATAAGAAGTATTCCTGTTCGATTAATTTCAATTTAATATTATTTTAGATATCATAGAGCAATATTAATTTTTTTATTAACTTCAGTTTGTCATAAGCACATTGTACCTTGTCTAGCATAAAGATGTCATTGGCAATCCATGAAATAGCATGCACATTTTTGAATATTCTTACCCAGGACAGTGAGCTTTGTTCCATTGCCGAAATAAGCTGGAGAACTACCACCAGAGTCACAGCACACATGTGCACTAACAAATTCACTCAGGATGCCAAATTCAAGTCCCTTTTTTAGCTTAAATGTCCAATGAATGCTTCTCAACTATATCCAATTTATTTACTTAGATTACTTATGGCAAGTGTGCTCCTTAAAGTAATTTCATAAATATAACACACAGACATCATAACTTAGAAGATCCATTGCATATTACACAGTCAATAAGTAACAGAACATCACATATCTATATTTCTGTATATCCTGCTAAGGTTTTACATAAGACACAGAATACTTAAATTACTAACCTAGAACTGTAAGTTTAGTGCCGTTGCCAAAGTATGCAGGATTGCCAGTGTTCACACTGATACTAAGCTACAGTTAAAACCTCAGCTACAGTCGAGATCATGGAGACTTTGCCACTCAATATATGACATAATTATAAAAATTAGATTTTTCTTACCGAGTACAGTTAACTTTGTTCCATTGCCGAAATAAGCCTGAGCAACACCAGAGTCACAGCACGCATGTGCTCTAACAAATTTACCCAAGACAGCAAATGCTAAAGACCAAGTATAGGGTTCTACTTGATTGCCATGTGAATATCACAAAATAATCTACCATAGAGCTTCTTCTTTTTTTGTACAATGAGTAGTAATTTACCATATAGTGATTTATACATCAGAGAGATATACAAAAAACCAATATCATTTTGAACACTGTCAAAAATAACCTCCTATTAGACCTGAACATCAAATAAGCAGGATGTGTTGTTCTAAATATCCTAGTAAGTTCAGAAATATTATGCAAATTACTCACCCAGGACTGTAAGTTTAGTTCCATTACCAAAGTGTGCTGCACTACCCATGTTCACACTGATTCTATGCAACAGTTAATACCTCAGATAGTCAAAATCATAAATGATTCTACTTACCTCAATACGTCTAACTTAAGACATTTTAAAGATTGATTATCTCAGGATTACTGAGAAGTATTCCAATTCAGTTAATTTCAACTTAATACAATTTTAGATTTCATATAGCAACGTTTAAATTGTTACTAACCTCCATTTGACGTAATTCAGCGCATTTTGATTTAGTGTCTAGCGTAGGCATGTCTATGGCAATCATTGAAATAGCATGAACATTTTTGTATAGTCTTACCCAAAACGATTATCTTTGTTCCATTGCCGAAGTGAGCTGGATAAGTACCAGAGCACAGCATTCATGTGCACTGACAAATTCACTCATGGTGCCAAATCCAAGGCATTTTTAAACTTAAATGCCCCATGAATGCTGATTGATTATATTGATCTAATTTACTTAGAGTGTGCTCATTTTAGTCATTTTATAAATATAAAACACGAACAGCATAATTTAGAAGGTTGCATATTAAAATCAATAAGTAACTGAACATCACATAGCTACATTTCTACAGTATTCTGATTTGCATATCATGAATAATTCTCAAATTACTCACCTAGAACTGTTAGTTTAGTGCCATTGCCAAAGTATGCAACACCGCCAGTGTTCACACTGATACTAAGCTACAGTTAAAACCTCAGCTATAGTCAAGATCATGAAGACTTTTTCATTTATATTGTCTGACATATTTGTTTTTTAAATAGATTTTTCTTACCTAGTACAGTTAACTTTGTTCCATTGCCAAAGTAAGCCTGAGAAGCACTAGAGTCACAGTGCACGTGCACTAACAAATTTACTCAAGACAGCAAATGCTAAAGTCTTTAAAGTCTGGGTCATGCACATAGAATATTATTTTGAAAACGCAACATAGTGCACTTAACAAATACCATTTCCTTAGGTCTAAACATCAACATACTCAATTTACTCACCTAGAACTGTAAGTTTAGTGCCATCTCCAAAGTATGCAGGGTCGTACTGATCACACTGATTTTATGCTACAGATGAAACCTCCTTAAGATCTTTCCTACATATTTAACTGTTTTTCTTTTCAGTAACTTGGGAACACAACACTATAACAATTGACAATCAAATGCCTAAGCATGCTGTCTAACACTAAGAAGTGTTAAGAAGAATCGGAAAACATCCTTTCTTTGTTGAACTACTAGGCATACATTACGAAATAATAATAGTATGTTCTAATATTTCCAATATATTTGTAAAGGTCAGCTTAGTAATATAACTTTTGTTTTATGTCTTACCAAGAACTGTTAACTTTGTTCCATTGCCGAAGAAAGCTTGACCACCTCCACCAGAGTCACAGCATACATGGGCACTAATAAAATTACTCCGGCTTTATGGACTTAAGTCTTGCAGTTTGTCTAAACATTGAGGCTTCAGAAATGCTTAACCATTTTATCTATGCTGAGGAAGATGATTTTTGTACTTATACTTCTATGCATCGTTATACTTATTTTACAAACGATAAGATTATTTCCTAAATCCCAATGTCAAATGATATCAGTGAATTTAGACATGTTTCTTAGTTGTCTTGCTATGATGCAGAAGACTATGCAAAATAAAGTCAAAATATTTCTTACCTAGTACGGTGAGTTTGGTGCCACTGCCAAAGTATGCAGGGTTGTTATTCACACTGATTCTACGCTACAGAAAAAACTTCCTCTACTCCTAATACCATCTACATGCCATCACTAATTCCACAATACAAAAAATTACTTTTCAAATGAAATAAAGAGTTTTGAACCCTCAGAATGCATTAACTCTGATATAGTAGATTTGACCAGTGTCGGCTTAAATAAATGTAATCAGCAATTTTTATTAGAAGCCTCATTTTTGATTAAGCATTGCCGTTTAAACAATATGAAATGTGTTTCTTACCAAGTACAGTTAATTTCGTTCCTTCACCGAAATGAGCCTGAGCAGTAGTTGACACAGCACACATATGCACTAATAAAATGTCTAGGATGTCTGGACAGTGATCAATGGCTGGTTACAGACTTGTTTCCAAAAGAATTATCCACAAACTTCAGCACCTAATAATATTTATCCAACAAATTCAGTCAAAAACGTCTCACCTGTCACTGTAAGTTTAGTCCCACTGCCAAAGTATGCAGAACTGTACTGATTGCACTGATGTCAAACGACTGTAAAAAACTAAAGACTTTCTACAAACTACATCTAAACCACAATGGCTATAATAAAGTTAGCATGCTAAAAAGAAAAATATTACCAACACACTGGTTAACAATATTTTGCAAATCTTGGATGGTGTAGAACTTTGTCACAAACAAGACTCGAATTTCATTTCATTTCAATTTCATTAGACATAATAAAGATATTACTTTGCCAACCATTTTTGATGCTTTTGTGTCATTCCACTTAATATTTGCACACGATTTATAATCATAATTGTTGTTTTTCTTACCTAAAACAGTAAGTTTGGTGCCGTTTCCAAAATATGCTGGCGTGTTTGAGCACAGAGTATCACGACAGTATCACTAACTTCAGTCTCACAAAAACATTCTCAACTATATTATGCAATTCCCATTGGTAATTGAATGTAGCAAATACATTATTTGTATTTAATTAGTCTTTTACATTTACAAAAATAGTTCTCACCTAGAACAGTCAGTCTTGTCCCTTCACCAAAGAAAGCCTGGCTGCTTCCAAAACACAGCATGCAGGCTCACTGATAAAATTACTTGAACTTCATAACCCTTACATTTAACTAATTCTACACAGTTCTTTTTTTTTTTTTTTTGTTTGCTGATATTTTTGCATTCTCTGTTGTCTCAAATTACACATTTTATGTTTTCAATCATGCTGCTTTAAATTATCAACTCATACTATTGTTGCACAGTATATTCGTAACGTTTCCAACTGAAGTTGAAGTAGTACTTACCAAGAACTGCTAATTTGGTGCCGTTACCGAAATAGGCTTGATAATTGGCACAGCATACGACTGTCATGTCAAAAAGGGACTCAAATCGAATACTGAAATTGCACTGTTTTTTTTTCACAACATTTCAGCATAGTCTAACCTTAATGGACAATCATCAACCACTTGAGCTCAACAAATATTTTGTTATTGTCTGATATTCCAATGCAGGCCTACATATTAGTATAGTTAAAAGTGTTTCTTACCTAAAACTGTTAATTTTGTTCCATCTCCAAAGTGTGCCTGGTAAGCATTGTCACAGTGAGATGGTGTGCGCAAATTTATGAAGCTATGGGTACAAATTATTTAAAGTATTTGGGTCTGATTTGGAGGCACCTTCCCTACTGCTGTCATAGTTTAGTCAAAATGGAGTATGAAAGGTATAGGCCAGACAATATGAGTATTGGTCAGTAGTCACATTTATACATTAAAGCAATCTTAACTAAATTACCTAAAACAAACTTACCTAAAACTGTCAGTTTTGTTCCATTTCCAAAGTATGCTTTCCAGCCAGAAGCACATTGTTTCAGAGTACTCCGAAATTTGCATTAGAATTCTATTTTTTCCCCCATGATCATGTAAAAGTCTGTTAATTCTATAATAGTTGTCTCCCAGGAGGCTGTTCAATGTAAAAGCATGTAAATCCAAAATATACATTGATTTGCTACAAGGTAAATGATCAAATTATCCAGGCAAGTCCAACCTCAAGTATCCACATGCATTTACCGCTGAAATTTTTTTTACAAATTCATTAAAAATGTGGTAATTGCTCAAAATATTAATAACCCTTCTCTAGATAGATATCTATAATATTTCATGTTGAAATCCATTAGAAATGTTTGCAGTGTTTGTATTCATTGTCTCTGTCTAATTGACTGTACATGGAGGGAGGTTTTTGTACAGCGGCTCTATGGGAATGTATCACTGTGGCCCCCTGTCCCCACGGTGCTAAAACATTATACAAAAACAAAAAAATATCTTTCTGTCTTTCCCCCCATTCTTCCCCCAACCCCCATTTTATCTTTATTTTTCATCATTCTCTTGCACATGTTCTTTTTTATGTCTATCTGTATACAGTCTATGTTGCTATTTCTGTGATTACGGAGAATTTGGGCAGGTGCAGATGCCTCCACCTAAAA